GAAGTGTTACGAAATCTACACCAAAATCTGCCTTTTCAAACAAGCGTACAAATCATTCCAGACCATATTAAAGTTATCGAAGGAAAATGGGAGGGTATTTATTTCTGGATTGCTGTGAATTATATCCTTGGGCGGTTAGTTGCTTTTTTTGGTTTTTCAGTTTTGGGAAGTCTTATCTATTTATTATTAATTTAGCTGATGTACCCATGATCTTATTCTTACAGGAATGAATCTATTTCAGGTTCACTCGTAATAGAACGGAATCTTCGCGGCAGCCTACGGTGGGTATAATAGATATGGGTGGCGCATCGGTACAAATTGCTGTTGAGTTAAATTTAACAAGTGGCACTGGTGAATTTGTGGAAAGCGTCAACTTAAGCTGCAATGATAATGAACAGGCATACAGGTTTCTTCACAATTTTCTATTATATTCACTTACTTACTTATAAAAGACCACTTACGAAAAATAACATATTTTAGTTACCGACTCTTTGTGACAACATTTCTTGGCTATGGCGTGAATGAAGCTCTTCGGAAATATGAACAAAAATTAAGCAACGACTTGGCTGTGGAAAATACTAACAAGTCTTTTGTACGAGATCCGTGCTTGCCAGTCAATCTGCTCAAAACAGTCAAAAATGAAGATGGTTCACAGTTTAGTCGAAAGGTTAGTTTTTGTCTAGTTTGTATTCAGTTCCTCAAATTAATTAGATTAATGCAAAACTAACGGATCGTAAATTTTAAGTTATTATAACCAGACTCACATTAATCGAAATAAGCAACGGTGACATTTAATACGTTTTGGCCAACGACAAATAAGGCTACAGTTTGTGGCACAAGATTTGGCTGGTTTAACCATTTTTATCGGTCATGGATGAATTTTCTCACAAGAGTAATCCTGATAATTGAAGAATTGGCAATCATTTGATGAGAAATCAGGTGAATATAACGATGAAGGAGAACTTCTTTGCCAATTTTCTTTAATTTTTGAAGCGTTGTTGCCCAAGTGGTGAATCTCTTCTTTCGGTTGACCAAATGTCAGTTTATAGCGTTGCCCTTCAATCTCAGGTGTAATGGTTTCGTCGGGATTCAGAAAGTTGTGTTGGCAGTCGGCCTGTAAGGAGGGATCATTTTGGAGCATATTCAACTTTGAGAAGTGCTTTGGAGTTTTTTTTCGTCCAATCACTAATATAGTCGTCGCCAGTTCGTATAATTTACTTTCCACCGCTTATTAACAGTCCGACTGAGAAGCAATGGAGACAGATTTTTTTTTTTATTGTTTTCAGACATCTCGTGAAGGACTCATTATGATTTTTTCACATTTTGAATGTTTCAAATTTAAATGACCATTGAGTGGCGTGTGTTCTTTACTACCTGTGCAGTTGTGAAAGGATAAGTTTCGACGATTAGATTAATGTCAGTCAACTTTTGGCGATGAAAATTTTATTAACTTTTGATAAAATTTCCTTCACAACTTTTACTACTCTCGTTAAATTGTTTGAAGAGGTGTGAATTGTTAGCTACTTTATAACCCGTGATAAACTTAAAGAAATCAGTCAAATTTGTTTTTTCTAATGTCATTCCTTCAGCCTAAAATAAATAAAAAATGAACAGAAATAATAAGTCATTAGCAAAAGAATATAAAGCAGATATACATTAAAATGATATAACACAACTGCATTTTTTTAATGATGGTTCCTAATTTGAAACTCAAATTCGAATGTTATAAATGCTGCTATTACTTTTGCATTTTATAGCGTTTTCTAATAGGATCCATCCTTATATATTTATACTAAATAGCACAAAAGCTGCACTGTATGCTTTATATTATTAGATTTACGGCAAAAGATTTCAATTTTTCAGGGTATAGGGGATTGGGATACTTGTATAAAGAATCTAGCGTCTTTATTAACGGCAACAGTGGCGAATCCGAAATGTCAGGTAGAGAAATGTTTATTTGGACTAGTTCGTTCCCCTTCGATTTCGCTATCAGAAATTGAACTATATGGCTTCAGTGAGTATTGGTTTTCACTGGAAAATGTCTTATTCATGGGTGGACAATATGATTTCAGTAAAACGGCATCGAGAGCACGTCAATTTTGTCATATGAAATGGTCGACGATACAAGTTGGTATTATATTAATATAGTAAATTATAGAAATGTTTAATTTTTTATTCCTTTCATACCGTCATTCTTAAACTTACGATTCATCAGCCATTAAAGCTTTTAGTTTTCGGATTTCTCTCGCATGTCAGGCATAATTTTAAACCTTTGGGACTTTTTCTAGTGCTATTGTGTCTGAAGCCTACCTTACCATTTTTAGGAAAAGTTTTATGCTTTACTTACATTATCCAAATGGAAAGTGAATATATTGACATAGCTTTAGACACAGTATCGGAATAATGTCTATCCAAAGGCGGATGAAGATCGACTGCGATCGCAGTGTTTTAAATCAGCTTGGATAACAGCTGTTCTTCATGAGGGCTTTTTGATTAGTAAAACTTACAATCGTTTTCGATCTGTTTTTGATGTCAATGGACAAGAAGCACACTGGGCGTTAGGAGCTTTATTATATCATATGAGGTTTCACTTATTAATTTTAGCAATAATTCCTCAATGATTTCTGATCAGTTGCTGATGGCTTTAAAACCGAGACTCTGTGAGTTTCAATAATTTTTGTAGTGAGGGGAAGAGTTTAAAATTGTGTTGGAAATAGGACAATTTGTAGAACCTGTTTCATATTTATTTTTTTTTTTAAAGGTCATGAGCTGTTTTTTAATTGACTAATTAGCTTATTCATATAGCATACATTTCACCGTTGCTTTAAAGATTTATTGTTGCAGATACTTTCCACTTAGTGGAACTACGCATAAACCGCAACATCCTAATTACCAAATAGCTGGTCGCCGAATCCCCGCATACTGGATTATATCTCTAGTTTTACTTGTTGTTATTGCATTATGGGTGTTATATAAGGCTGGTAAGAAGCGAACCCTGCTGCGACGCGACCCATCCATGTGGGGATACATGACATTATTGTTATCGCAGGATCAGCTTTACATACAGCCTTAGTTGTATTTCTTATTATGTAATCGGATATTTCCATTAGAATAGATATCTGTTAATTTTTCACTTCAGAATTGCATACCACGGATGGAAAAAATCAAGATTCTAGGCACGATAGCAAGTAATAACGAACGAAAAACAAATTTTTGGTTGTACTGGTTTCATCGCTTTTGATATTGTTTTTCTATCACATTTTTTCCAGTGTCTCTTCTGCAGAACAAATGTTGAAAATCTTTGATGTTAATAGTGCCAAATTTATTAGCTCATTTTTATGAACTGATATAATCCCAAATATCATTGTATTAAAAAATAATTTAGGTGGTCATTGTTAGAAACTAAGTAATCTTTCATTATATTATAGTTACAACATTTTATCATTCCTTCGTTCCTTCGCTTCAGGTTAGGAAATAGAATTCGACCTTTTTTCACCAAATGATATTCAGCAGAAAAAAACAGTAGTTAACCTCTGCAATTTTTTCTTTCAATAATGGGTTTAAGGTTATAGCTTCAGAGTATTGGCATAATCTTTCCTTTTTCATTTCTCCAAAACTACCGCTGAAATGCTGGAAAAGGTGAAATTCTAAGAATTCACAAGATGAATTTTCCCCTTTCAGATTTGTCTGTAATGTTCGTTATATGGTCAGCACTGTTTTTTTTTTTTTCTGCTAGAACTAGTTGGACATGTTGCACAGCCCTGCCTTAGGAAAGGCATACGATTTAGATAGAATTGGCATTTCATAGTCATATGCTTACGAAAGAATCTTTTCACTATTTTTATTTTTCGGTCTAAGGGCTTCAAGGGAAATGTTCCGTAAGCTCATGACTTCACATACTATATGGAATAAAATACATGCTGAAATTCCCTTCACTTCACGCCCAATAAATTTAGCAACAACAAGCGGAACATTGATTGTTGTATCCTATTTTTTAGACATACAAGTTTACAATTAAGGTACTTCCAAGTTAAATTTTATTTCGTCCGTGAAGTATGTTATAATATATACAAGTGTTCAAGGATGCGAGGCGAGAAGCCAATGATAAATTGATGCAAAGGGCAGGATGGATATTGAATGGATGTGGAAGAATAATGATGCCGCTCAAACTTCAAGATAAAAAAAGGAATGGATTTGACTATAAAAGAAGGAATCCTTAAGAAAGAAGGATTAATTCCAAGGTTGATGACAATGATCCATCTTTATCATGTTGGAAGTTTCGTGAGGTAAAGTAAATGGCGTTGTTTAATAGGAATAAGCGACAGGATAATTTTAAATAAATCGAACTGTGAGTCAAGACTTCCCATCATTTCGGGAAAGGGACGCTCACTTGAAATATGAAACCTAGAAAAGAAAAGGAAGAAATGGCACTTGGAAAAAACAAACAGCTAGTAGACCATTCACGCATTTTTCTGGCATATGAGGGAGATGGGTTTAAAAAAATTGCAGGGGAATCCACTATTTTTGTGGTTAAACTTGATCCATTTTAAGTGTTGAACAACCATGCTGTGGCAAAAAAGTGTTACTGAGAAAAACTGGAACACAACTAGCTTGATTTTGGTAGTTTCACCTAGCTTAAAAGTGTGCTGCATTATGGATGAAAAGCGTGTCAAGGAGATTTGACTAAAATGTTAGTTTCAAGTTTTTTAATGGAGAGAAAGAGACGAACAGAATTCAGAGATATAATGGTACATGAAAATCGATTCATTAACTTAGATGCTTGTGATTTAAGCTACATATGAAAGTGCTCAGAAATCTGATTTCAGTCTTCTGGAACTGATATTTTAAAAAATGATCTGATTTTTCATGTACCAAACAAAAAGCAACTCATGCAAATTACTGAATGTGCCATGCACTCACTGAAATTCTGTTTTGAACTAACTTTGAGCCAAAAAAGAAGGTCTCCAAATTGGTCACTTTTATGAAAATATAGAACAATGTCACTGAAAAACAGGTGCTGTTGATTGTGAAAGCGAAAAGCGTCGTGGACGATCTGCTTCTTCCATTGAGCTAAAAACGTTTGAAAACATATCTTCACTTTTTATAATCTGAAAATTTATTTCAGTCTTCTTCCTTCTAAATAATATGGAAATTCTATAAACCTGCTTAGTGTGCGCTGTCTCTCCATCCCAGGAATGGCTACTCCGGATAACACACCACAACCTTTACATAATAAAATTAACGAACGTGCCAGCTTTTCGGGCTAAAAATTCAAACTATTTTGAGAGATACAGATCATTTAATTGCAAAATATTGAAAATATTGAAGTATAGTTTGCATTAAATTTCAACTCCTAAAGAGCTAACCGCTTCAGCCATCACATCACTAACGTTATCCACGACCAATAGTGTCGTTTTCCGCTTATTCATCGACTTATGTGTAGTGTAGACAGTATGTAAATGTGATGCACGTGCACCAGTAACCAAGAGTGCATCCATGCTGTAAATGTTCCACTTACTAATGAAAATTATAAATTTGTTCTAAATGCAAGACTCATTTTTAATCAACAATCTGGATTAAATGTTGTGGTAAAAGTAATCTAAGTTTTAAAAAAATCTAAGTCTAGTTCTTAAATAGAAAGTTGAAATAGATAAATAATTTGTAACAATCAAAAACCTGAATGATGCAACATTCATTTCTTTTCGATAAACAAAGCCTCACATTTAGTGAATTTTGCCACTCATTCGATGACAAAAATATAAACTAACTTATCCAACTTAGTGCCAATGAGAGATGATATGTCACTCCTTTTCGAAAAACTATAAAGATACTTGCTAAGATTCTTCGGATTCAAGCAGTTTTTCAATTCTTCAATATATGCCTGCTTTTCTCGTTTGTCGGTCTAAAAAAGATATTAGCAAAAATTATTTCTGAACTATATGTGTTAATGAAAACATGAATATCGCATTTCGCTCACTACATCGAAAACTCCTTGAAACTATAAACTTACAGATCCAAACTTGTGCATTGCAAGGTAGTCCCACGCACCTTGTGACATGACACCTGACTCAAGCCGCATGTTGATGAGCTGTAACAATTAGGCACATAGCTCATAGTAAACAAATTATAAACGAAATAAACGAGAATGGAAAGGTTCAAAGATCAAGTGCAAGCAATATATAAGCAAATATTGAAAAGGTGCATTATGAAATCCTTTATAATAAGCTGGATTTCCTTAAATTCGAAATAAATTCTAATTCTCAACAAACAAGAAATTGCACTTTTTGCACTGCTTATAAAAAGATAATTCCTACAACAAACTTTATCCTTGCAATATTCGATAATTCCTGCAGTAGTTGAAGTACAATGCACCAGACAAATTCCCATAATTCGATTTGGAGAAGACATCTGTAAACTTTTGTTAGATTAGAGTATACACTGATAGCAAATATATATTAACAACACAACAACTAACCTAGCACCCATTTCTCATTAGAGCAAGAAGAGTGATAAAAAAAGCTAAACCTAGCGTTCATCTGAATACAGCGCACTACGTTGAAAAAAGGATTGCGCAACAAAAAAAAAAAAAAAAAAATACAAGCACATAACTCACAGCAAAACGACAAATAATATTTGCACCAGCTCCTTCACCAAATGCGATGCACGTTTTCACATCCAGTTTATCGAGTATAGAAACAAGATCTTCGCCAAGCTGATCAAGCGTTGGAAAACTGGAAGTTTCCCAAATCAAAGTGCGGAAATTAAAGTTTTCTCAAGCAACCTTACAGCAAGTGAACCAAAAATTCCGTTTCGAAGAAACATTAATATAGGAATGTTTAAACAAGTCTTCAATTTCTTAAAATATGTGTGCAAGCTTTTCTAAATAGTAGAAATTTCATCATATCAACCAGATAATTTCTATACTTCAAGTCATATAAATAAAACAGTAGAAGTGATTACTAACTCTCCCACAAAATCCAATGCACTGTCTTCCTGACCAGGAATGCAAACATGCAAAAAAATTGACTTTGCTTTCACATCAGCCATTGACGGATGGTTGCAAAAGCGCACAAAACTTTTATCTGTAAACGAAATTAAAAAATGACATAAACAAAAATAATTTGCGACTTCATACATAAACCCTACAACAGGCACACTTATAAAAGTATAAATGTACGTGCAATTTCACTAAGAACGATGCGGTAAAAATTTTAGCACTATTCCGTAATAACGATGATAAGGAATGTTTAGAAATTTAGAAATAATTATCAAAATAACTAAACTGTGAAACTAAATGAAACAAACTGATAAAAAAGCAAATGACATCAAATGTCGCAGTCAATTCAAATGTGGCAGTTACAGCTCTTTGCTGATTAAAAACGAAAGAAAAAATGCTTTTCATTTTTGCCAGTTCATTACGATATAACCTCTAGATGACGATTCATAAAAACACAATGTTCACTAGAAAATCTGGGAATGATCAAAATGGATAACTAAACTGTCAAGCTAAAAAATCTTAATGCAAAAGCTAGCTAGGTTGTCAATAATCAATCACTGGAAACTGATTACTTCCAGAATTCTTCGAACGAATCTGACAATAATGTATGAAACAAAACACTGAAGCACAAAAATAAACTAGAAAATTGCTCTGCTACTTTACTACTTCACTATTCCACCATTTTTACGTACAAATCGATAAAAATTTATTTCAAAGATAACTAAATAAAATTAAAGGAACATACAATTTGTTCCCACGTCATGCACTGTCATGATGATAGTCTTGCCATTTCGATCATCTAGATTGCCTTGAACATACACGTGTATAAAGCCACACTTCGTGGTTTGTATCGAAATCATCTATAAAATTAAAGTAACAAAGATATCGTTGATGCAACAATAAGTACAAATTCTAAATACTAATTGTTTTTCAACAAAACGCTAAGAGAAAAATAGAATTGGATCTGTGAGGGATATATTTCGGATGAAAATTTGAAACTAACTCTGATATATTTGCATAATAGAAAATAGAGCAAGAAACTGCATATTTGTATAATAGAGAAGGTAACAGAATATATTTAAACTGAAGAGAAAGTAAAAAAAGAATCATAAACGCGATTTCTAATTTCAGCTATGATTGATCTATTTGCCGAATATTACAGATCACTATAAATAGGAGTATAAAATGATGTCTAATTTCTTGTTACAACTTATGCAACTGCCAATTTTGATCCATCTCTCACAGAAAACGAATTTTTATGGAAAAGTTCATGAGACGTTATTCAGTAAAGTAGTCGTTTTGTAGGGTATATAAACGGAACGAAGAAGGTAAGGAAGAAATTAAGAAGAAACTGAGTGTGCAATTATACATTATCAGTCATATTTATTTCTATTTCGGCAGGATATTCTGAATGAAAGTTCAGAATAATGTATGTAGGTAAGGTATTTCGAAAAAGAATTAAAATTTGAAGGACTGAAATTTTCGATAACTACAATTTGTTAAAACTTAAAAAGTAATACCGTTCACAACAATCGAATATTGGTAAATAAATCCGGGAAACGAAATGGAAATGATAAATAAAAGAAAAAAAAAAAAACAGAATTAAATGACGACAGCTGTATCAACAAAAGCAATCGAAATTACATATTAAACACATGTGTGTTTGCGTCTGAGTGTGGGTATGCATTTATGTATGCATGTATGCTATGTGGGTACACGATTACTTTTTTTCAAGAGTTAAGGACGAAATTCATATTTCTAATTGGAATTTTTCTTTTTGTTTTTTCATAAACAGCTGTCAAGTTCTAAAGATCTTGTACAAAAAGATTGATGACATAATTTGATATTTAAATAAGGTTAAATTAAATGAAAAAAAAAAAAAAGATTGCCATTTTTTAGCTGATTTGCAGAAATTTTTCAAAGCCAAAAGAATTGAAAGATAAGCAATGTTTGCTTTATCTGGATAGCATTCACACTTAATTCCAGAATAACTTTCTTCACAATGTAAATTATTTGGAAGGGGGAACGCAAATAAGTTACCTCTAATTCCTCGTACATTGTGCCACAAATCAGTTTGTTGCTTCCTAACACACTGTAATGAAATCACTGAAATAAAGTGCAAAATTTCGTTTCATGAGTGGAAGATGGACTGCAACACAATGAATGAATGCACATCAACGCAATGTTATCAGCAATAAACAGTTTACGAAAATCTTCATATAGATACTGCTAATGTGAGTTAAGGAGGAAAAAGGGACCTACTTTTCTTCGAATACACGAACAATTAAAAACGATCATAATGCTTAAGGAATCTCTGAAATATTCAAATTAAGAAAGGGAAACAATTGCTGAACAATTATGATTTAGCGAAAACAAACTGTAGCAAATCGCAGGGAGAAAGTATATTGATATGATTTGATCAGATAACTGATGAAATAATGATAATGATAACTAGATTTTCATATGAAATTTATCATTTTCGAATTATGTGTAATTATGTGTGATTACGTGTAACAACTGAACAACATTCACGAGATCTATGAATACCGATATACTCCATGTTGAGGGAGAGCAAAGCATGTTAAACTGAAGGCACTTCAACTTCAACTTAATGATCACTTTTCTTTTTTTGATTTTCCGATTAATTCAAGGGTTCATAACAGAAGATGAAGATTATTCTCTCGTTTTTTTTTTTTTTTCCTAAATCTTACAAATAAAAAAAGAGGCTCAACCCGCTATTCTGATCATTTTCCCTATTATTGTCTCTGCTGTTGAAAAAACTGATAGGTCGAAGTAGTGTCATCGTAGTTGTTCTCAGTTAGCACAATAAATGGTTATTATGCCAGATTTTGTAAACTAAGGTAGGAGTAATTGGTATATTATAAAATGAAATTCGAGAACATCACTAGTTTAATTTTGCAATTCTAATACATGATATCATACTATAATACCTTCCCTACTTTTCGTTTGATACTTCATCATCATTTCATTAAATAAAAATCGATGTCGAAAAGACCAACAAGGAAATGACTGATGATTTAATGTTACTGCCAGTAGAAGTGGCAGTAGAACTCATCGTTATGATTTCGAAATATTTTTTTTTTTTTTTCTGCAGTAAATTTTCTCAATTATTTCAAAAACATTGGAATCCAGTAATTTTTGCTCCATAGCTAAATTCAAATGAAAATGATCGAAATCATGTGGTAGCAATTCTCAACTGTAACAATCCATTAAATACTTGTAAGGAGGCATATAATTTGCTAATATTTCTAATTGAAAGAGAGAGAAAGAAAAAAAACGCTCATGCTGGAATATTGGATGAACAAATAGAATTATAATCTGAAGAGAATAAAACGAGTAAAGATCTGCTGAATGATCAAAAATCTGATAGAAGTGAAGAGGAAAAACATTTTGTTTTTTGGACTCGAGAATGCTTCAAAAATCCAAACAACATTCTTTGAAATATGGGAGTTTTCTTGTCGCAAAATTTTAGTCGGGATGAGTGTGGAAGTATGAAAAGAGTGAATGTCCCAGCAGCAAAATATTAGTTCAAACAGATAACATATCTTTATATATATAATTTTAAAAGTGCCTCGAATTTAAAACATTTTCTTCTTCTAAGATTTACAAATTTTATCAATTTTGCCAAAGTTAACTTCCGAACAATCGAAACACTTTGATGGAATGTGATTTTGCTCTAATTTCGTTGTCATAGGCAACAACAACTCATTGTCTGCGCTTTAATTTTATTTTATCTATAAGTTGAAAATATTATTGCTATCTTAATTTCATTGAAGATAATGTTCTGCAAACAAATATGAAAATTAAATTTTCCTGCAACCATACCACATGCATAACATTCGCTACCATGCTAATTCAAACAAATGTGATTAAAAAAGCCAGTGCAGAAGGATTATTGCAACAATTTATATGAGTAAAATTCCAGGAATTTAGCAGTAATGAAATCCATCAGTTACATATCCTGTTATATCTGGTGCTATCTGGAATATCATTTCAGTTGATGGATATCTTTTAGATCAGGAGTACAGACTACTAAATTTAAAACAAGTGGCAACAAGTTATAATTTTACTAGACGATAAAGAAAAACGAAGTCTGCGACTTTTATCATGTGTAAAATAGCAGTTTTCATTTTAAATTCAATTATGGAAATGAGTGTAGAAAATAATGAGACGGAAATGATAATAACATAAGCAAAATGACAATGGATATGTAATATATAACGTATATTAATAATGAATTTCTCAATGTCTGGGAAAAAAATGAGTTATGAGAACTAAGAAAATGTTGCAAATAATGATATATTTCATCCGTTTTCTTCATGGAAGTATAAAAACGAAAGATCTGAGATATCAATTTCAGCTCACAGAAAAATATGAAGAGCAAACAAATCCTTACGTAATAATAATACTTGTTCTTTTCGTTTTTTCAATATTTAAACAGAACAATGACAAAATGATGAGTTCTAAACGACTACGTTTTAAAGCTCTAAAATTTTCAAAACAACAATAATAATTGGTAGTACTAATAAAAAAGTAAAAAGACAAATAATTGTGGTGAGAATGATAATAGTAATAATAATAATAAAAGTGATCACGACATACTAGCAATATCAAAATGCAAGCAAAGCATACATAGTGTTGCTGCAATAATGCAAGATGCAGAAAAGCAAAGTTGTTAGAAAGATGAATTATACGCCTTGATTTAACAAATATGAAAACTAGAATCAATTTTATTACTACGACTAGTACGACTAGCTTAGCAAAAAGTTAGGAAAGATGGAACAAGATGCAAGCTTCTAGAAGCTTAGAGCATTTAGCATTTAGCGGTTGTAGTAGCAGCATCCCGCTCCACCTCTTTCTCCCAGTTTCATACCTCTTCCCTTGCAGTTTCAGTTGCCCACAGACCTCTTCCACTTTTCACTGATCAATAAAACGCGTTTTATATAAAATATTACCTCATCAATCAACAATGCTCAAGTGTCTGATACATATTTTCTTTTACTAAGTCCTGATTATTTAATGAATCTGGTTTAATTAAAACATATTTGGATAATTTACTTGAAAAATGTTATGTATTATATGCTGTTAAGTAAATAAATGTTGATAACTCTTTATTACTTCAATAATTCAATTATAACTTATATGAACAAATCCTGATTATTTAATTAATCTGGTTTAATTAAATCAGAGTCTCATTTTCACTAAAACTGTAAGCAACCTATTTACTGATGTTTGCTGTAACAATGGATGGCTTACGTCTAAACTAATGAACCTAATTCAAAAGTCCCGTATGCCAGCAAGTATGCATTACAAAGAGATAACTCGTACTGAAGATATAATAACGAGTAATGGATAAACTGAAATAATATTATATTTAAAGTTTATATTTCTCTTCCATTCAATATTGAAATAATTACTTTAAAAAAATTTTTTTTTTGATTTTCCTATGTTGATACTATTCCCATCACTACTTTAGCTATATTCTATCCATCGCATGCAAAACTCACAGTGCACTCATAACATCAATTAGCCGACCATTACAGATTTGAACTGATCAAAGGAAGTCTTTTTTTAAATTATGATTAAGCACTGTGTAAACGAAAGCTAATAATACCAAACACTTTTATCATCAACTTGATCAGATGGACTATCATAATTCATCCCCATTCCCAACATCAACTAGATAGAAATTCCATTTTATATGCAAATTATATGTCAATAACAAAATTCATATGCAAACAAGTGTTGTGATCAAAATGCAGCTAATATTGTAACTCATTCATATCAATAAATTCCCTCGAGAGCTGCAAAGTCTTTAATTGAATTTTTCGTACTTTTGGAAAGAAAAGAAAACAAATGATCTCAAGAAACTGGAACTGTTTTGGGGGCGCATCAAAAAGTCAGTCTGTGAAACAATGCCAGTGGGAATTTGTTGCATTGCTACGTATGGCAACTTAAAAAATATATAAGCTATAAGTTAAAAGCTGCATTATCATAAATGACTTGCCAAAGAACATAACTAGGATGCCGTTTGACTACTTCAGCCATTTCCTGCAGGATATATTAAAACAGAACTCTGTATTTTTATAAAAAAAGAAAAATCCCATAGATATAGCGACAAAAACATCTCATTAATTGTTCTCATTATTGCATCACTTACGTTTTAATGAGAATATAGAAAAGACAATAAGGTAAATAAAGAGATGGAAAACTTCACGACACAGAATAGCATCACAAAAAGCTGATCATTTGACAGTAAATATCCAGTACAAAAACCCATCACATGATAAACTACGAAACTGATTCAGAGCACACTGAAAATAAATTTCTGAATCTTAAGATGCTTATTACTTTCTTCTTATAATTAAATAAGAATCTATGCAGAATGGATATTGTGCATAATTATGACTTTATCATCTTTACTAATGAATTGACATATAATTGTCCCTTCCATGTTCAAAGCAGAAAGCATTGTGAGCAAATCCTTCCGGATTTTTTTCTCTTGTATAAAAATTCCAACCAATCCTCTAAAAATAATTCTACCAAAGAGCACACCATGTTAGTAGTGATTTTATTACAACTTATATGGATCGTACTAAGACCTCTGATGATTGAAATCCATTGGATGATCTCCCATCACCGACTCATTCATTGCGTATCTTTACATACAGTGGAGACAACCCATCTTGTTTCGATGAATCATCCACACTTCTTTTGATGCTCATCACCACATCTCACAATTATTAAATTTATCCTGAAGTTTATTCTATGTGGAAACAGTTCATACGACAACTTTAGTAAGAATTCTAGATGTCCTGCAATCAAACCTATTTTGTGCCGAACTATCAGAATTCCATAGAAATTTATTACTGAAGATGATGGTAATGAATTCAACAGTAGCAATATTACCAAAGAGCAAATTAGAAAAAAAAATGTTGCGTCACCTTTTTTTTATAGTAATCCAAACAATAACACAGTCTGCGACGAGCTCAGTAACTAAAAAAACGAAAAAAAAAACGATGGTATATCACACACAC